TCGCTCTTCTGTAGTAGTGACAGAGGAAAATATGGAATTCGTTGCTAAAACATTTGTTGAGACGCCCAAGCAATCCGCAGTTAACGTCCACGTTCGATACATGCGCTAACGGATGACCACCCTGACCGTAGACTGGAATTTTGCGAGTGGTATGAAATTTTTTGGAATGGACGGATTAACCGACACTATTTTGTTTACTTGGCAGATGAAAACACTCACGAAACCACTGCTCATGAGATAAATCTTTCTGGAGTAACAAAATGATCTTGAACTGGTTATCGATATAAAGATTACTCTTGAAAATAACTCACAATTTGCAGGTATTCGCTATTTTCAACAAGACGACGCTCCGCCGTACCTCAAACTTGCAGTTCGCAAATACCTGAATGCCGAGTTTGGCATGTGGATTGGAAGAAGAGGAAAAATTGAGAGGCCAGCTCGGTTATCCGACTTAACGCCATGCGATTTTGCTTTGTAGGAGTACTCAAAAACAAAGTGTTCGCCACCTAATTACGTGATGTTGAACATTTTTTCAAAACACGAATTCAAGAGGAATTCGATGCAATCCGCAACAACCCAGAATTCTTTGATAAAACCTACAAAAGTGTAAATAAACGGTGTCATTGCTTCATTGAGGAAAGTGGTCTGCAGTTTGAATACTAACAGTAACTTAGCTTAAATTACCAAAACAACAAAATGGAAGTAGAATAGATGGACAGCTTACAGAACCTATAGAAATAGACAGCGGAATAAGATAAGGGGATTCATTGAGTCCCATGATTTTCAATTTAATCATGGATGAAATCATCAAAAAAGCGTTAACAAAAGAAGAGGATCTAGAATGGGAAACAAAGAAATGAAAATACTCTGTTACGCAGACTACACGTATTGATAGCCCAAGATGAAGATAGTCTGTAAAGACTGGTAAACAGATTTAACATAAGAACAAAATAATTTAATATGACAATCTCATCTCAGAAAACAAAAGCAATAGTAGTCAGTAAAGAACCAACCAGATGTAAAATAGAAATTGATGGCTTCAGTATTAAACAAGTACTTAATGGAAATAAAATACCTAGGAATTACACTTTCCAGCTACGGAGACCGTGCCTCAGAAGTGAAAGATCAAGTACAAAAAGTAAATAGACTGACAGGATGCCTTAATAAACTATATGGCGAAACAGACACATTAACACTGAGATGATGTCAATAATTTATAAAGCCAGTGTAAGACCAATAATGAAATATGCCTCAGAAACAAGACCCGACACAGCCACAACGCAAAGGCTACTGGAACCGGCGGAGATGAGAGTACTAAGAAGAATTACAGGAAATATGCTGAGAGATCGAAAAAGAAGTGAAGACATTAGAAGTAAATGTAACGTATGTATAACGTATAACGTATATAAACGAATGGTCACAAAATAAAAAGAGAATGGAATAACCACATAAGCAGAATGAAGGAGACCAGTGTTGTCAAAATAGCAAGAAATAAGTCACCAATTGGCAAAAGAAGTATCGAACGACCGCGCAAAAAAAAAGAGTGACAACCTTCCACAGAGGTATTAGTCCGCAAATGAACAAGCAGAACGATTTATAAAGAGGAAGAAGAAGAAGAGAAGTTATTCTTCTTCTTCCTCCTCAGCTTTTCCATTTCCAGGGATCGCTGTTAATTACTCTTCGGCGCCACTCATTTACGTCTATTAAATTCTGCAAATTAAGACGGCAAAAGCTATCAACTAAAGGCCGAAAGCTATTGGCTAAAAGAGTGAAAGAGCTTGATGAAAAATATTGCAAGATTTGCAAGATTGCAACTTGAAACATTTAAGGGAAGAAAAGCATTAAAAGTCATTGAAAAGAGTTATGATACAAAAAAGGCTTAAATAATAAAGTAAACCGTCACAGGTGGTTGTGGAAAATTCTAGTGAATGAACATTTTAGGAATAAGATCGGTTTTATAAAGGTACCTCCATGCTATGGCATGCTGGACGAGCCATACAGTCTGTAGTCAACACTCCGAGGTGTGAGCGGGAACACAAATTGTATCAATACTCATACGCTTATGAAACGCACTTGGCGGATCATAAAGGCCTTCACATTTTACTCTGTTTCAACTTGTCTTGAGTAAAAGTCTTTAATCTTTCCTATCAGCCTCTCTTGGCTAACTCTTGTTTTTTTCCGACCCCGAATGGCTATTAGGTTTCCGAGGGCAGACGGGTCACTACGTTTACTCCTACTACATAATCTTCACAAATCCTGGTCCTCCAAGTCTGAGGGTTTGAACGATGGGCCAGCACCCCTTCTTCTAGAAAAAATTTTTTTTCTTAAAAATTCGATCAAGAGCCTCGTAATAAGGACGGAAACAAAAGACGACGACTGCTACGAAAAAGGACTATGAGATTGGCCACATGGAATGTACAAGGTCTAAGAACCAAGGAAACGGAAGTTTCTCAAGAATTAGAACGACAACAAATAGACATATGCGTTCTTACAGAAACAAAAAAGAAAGGAAATGGAAATGAAATCAAGAACGACTATACTCATTTAAACAGTGGAGTTGAAAAATCATTAAGAGCAAAAAGAGGTATGTCTATAGCCGTGCATACAAAACTCAAAAACAATATCAATAGTTGGGAAGAGATAGACGAGCAGATCATTATGATGGATCTTGAGAAACATGGGGAGACGATAGTTATAATAGGAATATGTGCTCCTAGTGACGATTCTGATACAAAAGTTAAGGATGAATTCTATGACAAATTGCTTGACGTGTTGACCCATGTAAACCGATCCAAAGAAATATGCCTATTTGGAGATTTCAATGCTTGGGTAGGCAAAAGATTATAAGACAATGTGGTAGGAAGATATGGTGAAGACAAAATAAACAACAACTGAGGGCGACTCATTGGCTGATTAAGCGGCTAAAGAGGCATTGGGGTACGAAGAAGCTGACAAAAGAGAAAATCCTGAGTGGTGGAACGAAAAGTAGAAAAATTAATTAAAGACAAAAAAAAACTTATCAAACATGACTATCCACGAAAGACTCAGAAGACCGTAGAATTTACAGCAGACTCAACAGGGAAGCAAAGAAGGAAGTAGCTAAAAGAAAAAACGAAATGTGGGAAGAGAAATGCGAAGAGATGGACCGATGCTTAGGAGGAACCAAAGTGACACAAGTTTGGAAATTCATAAAAAGTATTAGAAAAGAAAGCAAATATGAGGGAAATATAAACCTGATTCAAAATAAAAAGTGGGTAAAATATTACGAAAGGCTAGTAACAGAAAGTGGACACGAATTTATGGAAAGACCTGACCACATCTCATGGACAGAAAACTCAGAGGTGCATAAGATAGACAAAGAAGAACTGAAAAAAAAATTGAAACAAATGAAAAATGGAAAAACACCCGGGCCTGGAGACATTCCCACCGAGTTGGTGAAACATGGACCGGATGCTCTTTTGGAAAGCTTAGTGAATATTTTTAATAAATGCTTAATTGAAGGCCAAACGATTCCAGACGATTGGAATTTGGCCCACATTAGCCCCATTTATAAAAAGGGAGACAGAAATGGTGCGGAAATTATAGAGGCATTAGCGTAACTAGCTCGCTGGAAAGGTTATATGGTCGTATATTGAAAAGAAGAATATAAGAGGAGTATAAAAAAATTGAAGAACAAAGGGGCTTCAGAGCAGGAAGACAGCAGGAGCGTGGACAACACATTTACCCTTCAACAAGTAATTGAAAAACGAACAGCCCTACCAAACCTCCCTACCCATCTGGTATTTATAGATCTGGAGAAGGCTTATGATACAGTTCCTTTAAAACTCTTATTTAGAGTCTTGACGAAAACAGACCTTAGTAAAACATATCTAAAAGCAATACTGAACATCTATAAATGTCCTCAAAGCACTGTAAAAACAGGAAATACTTTCTCAAGGGTATTTACAGTAACGAAAGGCTTGAGACAAGGATGTTGTCTTTCCCCCACCCTATTCAAAATATATATCCAAGAAGCAATGCACCAGTGGAGACAAAAATGTGCGGGAATGGGGTTGAAGCTTAACAACCATTATCTGACAACGCTGTTCTTTGCAGATGATCAAGTACTAATTGCAAGCTGTGTTACGAATACAAATATTTGGAAGTATTATCTGCAGTAAAGAAACAACGGAACGAGATATAGACTATAGAGTGCAACAAGGCAGGAAGGGTGTTCAAATTCTGAATTCGATACTTTGGTCCAACAAAGCTACTATGAGAACTAAAATGACTATCTACAAAGTAATTGTAGAGCCCATTCTTACATATGGAGCAGAATGTTGGCAAATGACAGTAAAAGGAAAGAAAAAGTTGACACGATTGAAATGGACTACCTGAGAAGAGCTTGCCGTATATCAAGAGTAGAACGTATACCTAATTCTGAAATTAGAAGAAAAACAGATAGAGTACATACAACTTCTGAAAGAATAGAAACTAGACAGTTAATATGGTATGGACACGTACAGAGGATGGACGACAACAGATGGCCAAAAAGAGCCATGGAATACAATCCAAGTAATAGAAGGAAACGAGGAAGACCAGCCAAGCTACTTTAAAAAAGGGAATTATTGAACTACACGAATTACGTATCATTGTCAACATTATCTAATACTTCATTTTTATCTGACTCTCTTTTTTAATGGGGTGGTTTAATGGTTTTTTTACGACATGCTCTTGACTACCCATTATTAAATATACATATTTGATACATATTGATTTTTAAATTTACGAGTTAAACGATTATATACGTCCTCGCATATATGTAGAGAGGCCAAAGATCTCCTAGACCAACAATATCAGCTAGAAATTATTAAAACTACATTCTAAATATAAATCATCTTTAAACATATTAAAAATATTTTGATGTTAAAACAATATGAACACTAAAATAATAGGAAAGCAAAGCATCAGCTGAAAAAATGTACATTGACACATCGATCATGCTTTACAATAAATCATACCTTGACATTGATAGCCTTGCTTGCCCAAACCCCTGAAAATAAAACCACCGTTAACTCAATTAGTATCACCATGGGTGTGCATTGTCTATAAACTATTTATTCTACTTAAAAGCTAAAATCCCTTAGAAAAATTAACACAAATAACTGGTAAAAGCGCACACAGAGTATGTCAATTTTTATCACAAAATGCCTTATAGACTAGCCCATAGTGATTGCCCAAATATTGACTCCCTGAACTATGTTGGAAAGCGCATAGCGTATCATGGAATATACAATGTTTTGCAATAGCTCACAATGTGTGACATAAAAATAGTTTATCCGACTAGTACGAGCCCTAACAACTATATATTGGGACAAATTAAAATATATAACAATTTCAGTTTCATTCTAACGATTATTTTAGCAAAACAATAACTTGCATTTCGCGGTCGGGATGGGAGTCGAAGTTCTTCAAATATGGGTAATTTTAAAGACATTTTTAATTTTGCAGTTAAACGCAAAGGAAATCCAGGATCATATTAAAAAAGAAAGGGTGTTCACAGGTTTGTCAAAAACAATACAAAACGATTTAATAGATTGTCTTGCTGATTAGGCACATAAAAAATGAAATTTTAAGAGAAATTATTGAAGCTTTACCAAATAAACTATATTCTACAGTTAATTTGTTTTCAAATATGATAGATATATTATTTATAATATTCTTTATAGTGTATTTTTATGTATGAGAGAGTAATAAAACAATAAATTATGTATGCAAATCCCTAAACTGTTGATACGGGTGACTCAATGAAAAACAGATATTTGTCAACAAGTTTACAAAAGTATATAGGAAAACAATTTTAAATTGAGTATGACCACCAGGTATAAAGGTTGGAGCAGAATAGAATACAATAGTTGTGAGGGTTACTAATCCCTAAATAAGGTTGCCAGTGTCGGAGTGATGGAGGTTAACAGGTACTAATGAATTTGCAAGAAATGTAAGATGTTTATTTTATTGGTTATATATAACCAATAAAAGTTTAATAAGTACATACCTATTTGCAAAATAAAGTTTAATTCTTTAGATAAAATAAAACGTTTTATTTTATCTGAAATGAGTGCATTCCACGAAGTAAGGGTTTCAACAATCAAACATTTAATTCTTTAATTCCAGGAATCTACGACAGTAATTGACTAGATAATTACCTTCTAAACTTATTCCACAGAAAATGTGATAGTGGGTTTTTCCATTTTGTAGGAAGGTCCAAGTGGCGTATTCAAAATTCTTAACAGTTCACTAAAAGTAGGTATTTCAGTTGCAAGGTGCAGTTTATTGTGTATACTAGTGTTATGGAAAATTTGGAAGTGCCGTGTAAACGCCGAAAAATTGGTCCTTTAACAGTTAATGAAAAAACATTAATATTTAATTGTTTTAAATCATTTACAGACAAACGTTTATGTGAAAGTGTTGATGAGACCGTTGAGTTAGTTAGCAGTACACTTGGTGTTGGGAAATCTACGATTTACAGAGTTATTAAAGAAGAGAAATGTGGTAGTTTTCAAATGCCACGTAATGCTCCAGGGAAACCAAAATTTCAAATAGAATATCATTTTAAAGAAGGACTTCGACGGAAAGTGCATGAATTCTTCTTTAGACAAGAATTTCCAACATTGGATAAAGTTCTTGTCTCAGTTCGAGATGATAAGGATTACCCAGAAATGAGTCGAAGTACGTTATGGAAACTTTTCAAAGAAATAGGCTTCCGCTGGAAAAAGAATCCCAGAAAGTCTATTTTATTAGAAAGAAGCTATATTGTCATATGGAGAAGACATTTTCTAAGAACCATAAAGGAAATGAGAAACCAAAAAAGAAAAATATTTTATCTTGATGAAACATGGATCAACGAGGGTCATACACCAAATAAATTTTTTAATGAAACTGTTACAAGTCAAAAGCACGCTTTTGTAAATAACTTATCTACTGGTTTAAAACCCACCATCAGGAAAGGGACGCAGGCTGATAATAGTACACATTGGCAGTTCAGACGGTTTTGTTGAAGGTGGTTTATTAACTTTTGAATCAACTCGTACCGGTGACTACCATGAAGACATGAACGCTGATGTCTTTCAAGAATGGTTCGAACAAATGATAGATCTTCTTCCTAAGAACTGTGTAATAGTAATGGATAATGCAAGTTATCACTCCAGACTTATAGAAGGACTGCCCACAACCAAGTGGTTAAAAAAAGACTTGTAGAATTGGCTGAGTTCAAAAAATATTACGTACCATCCCGGATCTATAAGAAAGGAACTTTATTCGTTGTGTGCCCTTCATAAAGAAAAATTAAAAAAATACGAAATTGATGAAATTGCCAAAAATCGTGGAATAACAGTACTTAAATCCCCACCATATCATTGTGAATTAAACCCGATTGAACTGGTATGGGCACAGATAAAGAGTGAAGTTTCAAGAAAAAATACCACTTTTAAAATTCATGATGTTAAACAGTTGTTTTTGGAGGCCGTAAATAATGTAAAACCTGAAAACTGGGAAAAGGCAGTAAATCACACTATTAAAGAAGAGGAAAAAATGTGGAAGCTGGACAATATTACTGATAAAATGATCGAGCCAGTTATTATAAATCTTGGTTCTGAAAGTTCATCTTCTGAATCTGATTTGGATTTGTAACAAGTAGCTGTAAGTTTTATATTAATATTTTTATTCATCTATTTAACATACCTTAGACGGTTTTAAAAACTCTTTTTCTCTTTTGTAATTTTTAAAAATTAAAAAAAATGTGAATTTTTTAAAACCCTTTTTAATGTAGGCCAGTTAGTTCTAATATAGTGTGTGATAAAAGAGGTCACTTTTGTTTACATACACATAACACTTTATAACACTGAAATAATTCATTTATTTTTTACAATTATTCAAAGTAATTTTTCAATTAATCTTGAGCACGCCCATGGAGTGGTCGGAGGTACCAGTTAAAATTATGCTAATTACTCTCTCGTTCATAAAAATAAACTATAATAGATATATTATTTCAATCAAATGGTACGTAGTATCTCTACAAATTCAAAATTTGATAAGTTAGTCATTAAAACTATTTCCGCAATAAAGTAATCTGTGAAGTGGTGGATGTACTTAATATTCCTAAAACTACAGTGAAGGTTAATTAAGCATTATGAGGAAACAGAAAGTATCGGTAAAAAAAGTAAAAGCCCGTGTCATCCAAAACGAGTTTCTAGTAGAACCAGAACAATATTGGTCAAAGTTTGCAAGAAAGGTCGAAGAAATACTCTAAGGCAAGTTACAGCTGAATGATATATAAATCTGGATTAAAGTTTTATAAGCTTAAGTTACATAACAATTTAAAAGTAAACTCGTAAGTAAAAATTATATTTTCTTGTAGTAGACAAAGAAAAAGCGACTGCTAACAGCAAAACAAAAAGCAAGCCATACTCGTTGTGGACAAAATTTAAACGTTCTTGGTCGATAGAAGATTGGCCCGGAGTTATTTTTAGCGACAAACCAAAATTCGACGTATGTGTTGGTGATTACCGCAAACGAGTTATTCGTTTTAAGGATGAGGCTTTAATTTTCTGAGAATTGCATCCGTTAAAGTCCAACCTTTGACCCCATATAAAAGTATAGAGAACATTTAAGAACTTACTAATCTAATTTTACGTCCTAAAGTGATCTTGATCTGAAAAATGCAGCTCTGGCCTTCTAATGTATTCTAATTTCTTCGCTCATGTCCCAGTTCTCATTTAGATTACAACCAAGGTAAGTGATACTTCTGGTTCTCTCTAGTTGTTCTCCATAAGCTGATATCACTTCTGGTTATATTGGCGTTTTACTGATGTTACGAATATGCATTCAGCGTGGATTACCTAACGGTCGCATCTCGAAGCATCGAGAGTTTCGGCGATATATCAAGCGCTGTAAAATTCCACCCGTCAAATAACGAATTAGAGGTGGGACTACTCTCGAATATTCTCGAACATAATACTTTGGTATATATATGTAACGAAATTAGGATTTAAGTTTAGTTGATAAGAGAATACCGAACTGTAAAGTTATAAATAAATATATTTATATAAATTCGAACCGCTCATTTTATTTAAACTCGCTACAGTGGTGTCGGTGTGAGATTTGAATATAAATTCAACAGTGATTTTAAAAAAAAAGACTTTTGAAATTTTGAAAAGTATTGTTCGTCGGGAACATCTGCGTAATTCAATAGTGAACTTTGTACGAAAGAACATTTAAAAAGTGCGTGTGTGCCTGACCAAAGATGCTGCTAGTAGAACTTTCAGTGAAACAGTTGCGTGAGCAATTAGAAGAACGCGATGAAGACTGCAGCGGGTCCAAGAAAATACTACAAGAACGACTGAAGACTGTTCTCAAAAAGAATGGAGATGACCCAGAGACATTCCATTTTCAATCAGCAGAAGAAGCAGTTTTAATGAAGATCGAAGAGAATTCCAGAAAAAATGATAAAAAATTTGAAAACGTCTCTCAAATGATTGAAGAAACTTCTAAAAAAATGATAAAAAAATTGAAAACGTCTCTCAAATGATTGAAGAAACTTCTAAAAAAAATGATAAAAGAATTGAAAACGTCTCTCAAATGATTGAAGAATCTTCTCGAAAGAATGATGAAAGATTCGATGAAACGTCTCAAATTATTAAAGAAATAGCTAGACAAAATGACGAGAAATTTGAAAATGTATCTAGAAGATTCGACGAGACTTCTCAAATAATTAAAGACGTATGTAATCAAAATAATGAGAAATTTGAAAAAGTTTCTAAAACATTCGATAAGGTAGAAGAGAAGATCAAACAGTTAGAGAGCATGATAACTAATACGAAAGTGCTACCACCAATTAATACGGTAGCTTTAGATCCGGTAGTGAAAGAAGAATCACCTAGAGACAGAACAAGAAAAGGCTGTTTCCTTGACTGCTGCTTTACGAGGTGATGCTGCAGATATCCTAAGATTGATTCCTAAGGGTCAAGAAAAATGTTACCAGACCTTGTTTATTCG